CTCTGCATATCTCTGAAGTCCATCTGGTCCAGTGTGTCATTCAAAGCCCATGTTTCCTTGTTGATCTTCTGCATAGATGATCTGTTCATTGCCGTGAGTGGGTTCTTAAAGTCCTCTTGTATTACTGTATTCTTACCAAGGAGTTTATTTAATTTTGTAATTCATTGGTGTGTATATTTGGCGGCTCCCAAGTTAGGGGCATACATATTTACAATCGTTAGATCTTTTCATTGGGTACACCCTTTTTATTATGTTATAGTGTCCTTCTTCATCTCTTATAATAGCCTTCAGTTTAAAATCTAGTGTGTCCAGCAACGTGGCAGGATACAAAGTCAAGGTGCAGAAATCAGTGGCTTTCTTATACACTAAAATGAAAATACAGAAAGGGAAATTAGAGAATCGATTCCAACTACTCTAGCACAAAGAACCATAAGATACCTGGGAATAAACCTAACAGAAGAGGTAAAGGAACTGTAATCGAGGAACTACAGAACACTCATGAAAGAAATTGAAGAAGACACAAAAAGATGGAAGACCATTCCATTCTCTTGGATCGGAAGAATAAACATTGTTAAAATGTTTTTACTGCCTAGAGCAATCTATACTTTTAATGCCATTCCAATCAAAATTCCACCGGTATTCTTCAAAGAGCTGGAGCAAATAATCCAAAAATTTGTATGGAACCAGAAGAGAACCCGAATCGCTAAGGAAATGTTGAAAAACAAAAATAAAACTGGGGGCATCACGTTACCTGATTTCAAGCTTTACTACAAAGCTGTGATCACCAAGACAGAATGGTACTGACATAAAAACAGACACATAGGCCAGTGGAACAGAGTAGAGAGCCCAGATATGGACCCTCAACTCTATGGTCAGTTAATCTTCGACAAAACAGGAAAAAATATCCAGTGGAAAAAAGACAGTCTCTTCAATAAATGGTGCTGGGGAAAACTGGACAGCTATATGTAGAAGAATGAAACTCGACCATTCTCTTACACTGTACACAAAGATAAACTCAAAATGGATAAAAGACCTTAACGTGAGACAGGAATCCATCAGAATCCTAGAGGAGAACATAGGCAGTAATCTCTTCGATATCAGCCACAGCAACTTCTTTCAAGATATGTCTCCAAAGGCAAAGGAAACAAAAGCCAAAATTAACTTTTGGAACTTCATCAAGATCAAAAGCTTCTACACAGGAAAGGAAACAGTCAACAAAACAGAGGAACACACGGAATGGGAGAAGATATTTACAAATGACTGTACAGACAAAAGGTTGATATCCAGGATCTATAAAGAACTCCTCAAACTCAAGACACACAAAACAGATAATCATATCAAAAAATGGGCAGAAGATATGAACAGACACTTCTCCAATGAAGACATACAAATGGCTATCAGATACATGAAAAATGTTCATCCTCACTAACCATCAGGGAGATTCAAATTAAAACCACATTCAGGTACCACCTTACACCAAGTTAGAATGGCCAAAATTAGCAAGACAGGAAACAATGTGTGTTGGAGAGGATGTGGAGAAAGGGGAACCTCTTACACTGTTGGTGGGAATGCAGGTTGGTACAGCTACTTTGGAGAACAGTGTGGAGATTCCTCAAGAAATTAAAAATAGAACTTCCCTATGACCCTGCCATTTCACTACTAGGTATTTACCCGAAAGATACAGATGTAGTGAAAAGAAGGGCCATCTGTACCCCAATGTTTATAGCAGCAATGGCCCCGGTCGCCAAACTGTGGAAAGAACCAAGATGCCCTTCAATGAACAAATGGATAAGGAGAGATGTGGTCCATATACACTATGGAGTATTATGCCTCCATCAGAAAGGATGAATACCCAACTTTTGTAGCAACATGGACGGGACTGGAAGAGATTATGCTGAGTGAAATAAGTCAAGCAGAGAGAGTCAATTATCATATGGTTTCACTTATTTGTGGAGCATAACAAATAGCATGGAGGACAAGAGGAGATGGAGAGGAGAAGGGAGTTGGGGGAAATTGGAAGGGGAGGTGAACCATGAGAGACTGTGGACTCTGAAAAACAATCTAAGGGGCGGGGTGCGGGAGGTTGGGGGAACCAGGTGGTGGGTATTAGAGAGGGCATGGATTGCATGGAGCACTGGGTATGGTGCAAAAACAATGAATACTGTTACGCTGAAAAGAAATTTTAAAAAATGTAGTGTGTCTAATGTAGAAAGATGGATCCTCCAGCATTCCTTACATGCCCATTAGCATAATAAATGATTCTCCATGCCTTCAATTTCAATCTCGACGTGTCCTTTCCTCTGCACTGAGTCTCTTGTAAGCAGGATATTGATGGCTCTTGTTTTTCTTTTAATCCATGTTTATACACTATATCTTTTGATCAGGGCATTGAGTCCATTTGCACTCAGAGTGACATTGAAAGTTATGAATTCAGTGCCATTGTATTTCCTGTAAAGTCGCTGTTGCTGTAGATTGTCTCTGCTTCTTTCCGGATTTTTGTTACCTTTGGTCTCTCTCTACACACAGAGGATCCCCAAAAATGTTTCTTTCAGAGTTGGTTTAGTGTTCACAATCCTTAAGTTTTGTTTGCCCTGTAAAACTCTTTATCTCTCCTTCTACTCTGAATGACAGACTCCCTGGACTAAGTATTCTTGGCTGCACATTTTACCCATTTTTCACATTGAATATATCATGCATTCCTTTCTGGCCTTCTCGATGTCTGTGGACAGGTGTGCTGCCACCCTTATGTATCCACCCTTAGTAATTAAGTTTCTCTTGTCCTGAGCTGCTTTCAGGATTTTCTCTTTATCACTGCACCTTGAAAGCTTGACTCTTATATGTCAAGATGTTGACGTATTTTTATTGATTCTGAGAGTTCTCTGTACCTCCTGTACTTCAGTACATGTTCATTCTTCTGGTAGGTGGGAAATTCCTCAGCTCCAATTTGTTGAAATAAACATTTCCCCCTCTGTCCCTCTTGTCATCTTCTGGTACCTCTATTATCTGGATATTATTTCACTTTATGGAAGTGCTGAGTTCTCAAAATCTCCCGTGGTGATCCAATAGTTTTCTTTCTTTTTTTTAGCTTCCTTATTTTACATTATTTTATCTTCTATATCACTGACTTCCTCTTCTGAATCATTCACAGTCCTTCCCATAGTCTTCATTTGGGACTGAATCTATGTAATAGAATTTTTAATTTGGGTCCGTCTAGATTTGTGTTCTTTTATTTCTACAGTGAGGGATTCTCTACTGTCTTCTACACTTTTTATAGCCTGTCTAATATCTTTTGAATCATTGTTTTAAGTTCTAGTTCAGATATTTGAATTATATCCATACTGATACAATCCCTGCTGGTGAGTACTACCTCCAGTTCTTTAATTTCAGGTGAATTTCTCCATCTCATTATTGTGTCCAGAAAGGAAAAGAAGAAAGAAAAAATAAAATATAATGCGAAGAATAAAACTAAATAAAATAAATTTTAAAAGGAATAAAAATTATTAAAAACAGATGAAAACTAAGAAAAAAATGAAAATAATAAATTAAAGGCTAAAAAATAAAAATACAAAGAATGCTACCTAGCTACCTAGTATTTTCCCTAAAAGTTGAAGCTTCACAGCCCTCTATGATCAGTAAACTTGACAAAAGTGAGTTGTTTGTGATGGTCTTCTGGGGTAGGGGTCTGTGGCCCTGATTCTCAGGTGTACTTCAGCTGGAGCAAATGCACCTCTCCTAAGCAGAGGCAGACCTCCAGGTAACCAACCCTGGATTACAGTATGAGGCCCTGTATTAATCCCTGAAGGCTTACAGCACCAACGGGTGGGGTGAATATGGCTTCACCCTGCTCTCTACCCAGAAGCTGAAAATTTACAACCCAACTCTTCAGTGAGCTGTCACAGGAAAGCATTCCATCACTCTTATTTCCTTGGTTTCTGTCAGAATTCTGTGTTTACCCAGCCAGAGACAAAGCATTTTTATCTCAGGCATGTGACTAAATTCCAACTCCAATTTATATGGGTTTCTGTGACACAGAGTCATGCTGTACCTCCTGGAAGTTAGAGGTCTTGCCATGCTTCTGCTTTTTTTTTTTTTTTTTTTTTTATTTGGTGGACTCCTGCAGGAATGCGGTTGCCCAACTGTCCTGTGATTTGAATTTTAGGACTACATAGAGCAAAAATCCAGCACCTGGCCCCACGGTTTTCAGCCAGCTTTCCCCAACTGATATCTGAGGACTCTGAAGCATTCAGGCCCCAACTGTTCTTGTGACCCCCAGGATCCTCATGCTGCCACACCTGGGATTCTACCCTGCTTCACCACATGAACACCTTTAATCCAGGGACATCCCCCACAGTAGTAAACTCTTAAAAGTTTCAGTTGTGTGCTTCTTTGCTGATAAAATTTTGTGGTAGCCTCCTTAGCCCAGGTTCCTCCCCTCTGCTATATCCACAGCTGTATTAGCCACACAACTTATTCCCACCCATGCCACTCAAACTCTGAAGTTGCAGCATGAATCTCAGTAGGAGATGGAGGTAGCTCTTGAAGTGGATCAGGATCTTGTTCTGGGGCTGGTGCTGTAGCTTCATGAAGAGAAAGTATCCACACCATGATTGACTATTCGTGTCCTTCTAAATAAAGGAAACGTTTCCCATCACTCAATGTTGTCTGAGCCCATGAAGGAATCCCTGGGAGTCCTCTCCTGATGGCTAGTCATGGGCATAGGGATCTGAGTTTACTCATTACTCCCAGCCTACCACAGTTGGTGGAGACTTGCTCTGTTTGGCCCAAGTTGTCCCAGTCCATATAAGGCACCCCTTGTCCTCCTCACCTCTGCAACTCTCTGGTTATCCACCCTCTGCAACTATCCCCTTCTTGTGTTCTTTTCTCTCTAATAAATAAAATTCTAAAAAAAAATTTTAAGATTAAGCATAAAGGTGTATATTTAGGCCTTCAAAACCCAAATGTAAACAACCTCCTTTGTGTATTTGTCATCTTTCCCCTAGTGCTGATGGTGTCAGAGGTGCAAGATAACCCATGGAGTGAGAAGGGACTCTTGGCTGGTGGAGGGACTCTTGGCTCCTGAAAGACCACATGAAGGAACTTTGTCTCCAAACTGAAGATTCACTCAGCACTCTCATGTGAGGAAATTTATGGTGATATGCTACCAAAGTTTGGGGAGTTATTTGTTATTCAACATAACATAATATACCTACAGCATGTTGAAATCAACAAGTAAACTTCAATCGTTAACAGCCTAGAACCTATAAAATATGACCAGAGAAGCAACCAGCTTCCTCAGCCAGTAGGGCATGTGATACTTGATCTCAGGGTCATGAGTTTGAGCCCAACATGGAACATAGAGTTTCCTTAGGGCAGGGGAATAAAAGGTCTTACACATGACGAGAATCAAATAGGCTTCAGCAATAGAGCTGGTCAAGGAAGGCTGGATCCTCTATTCATTCAGCCACTGGGCCCTGAGCACTCAGATGGTGCCAGTGTTTATCAGGCAACCAGTTTCTCTCTCTAGGAGCTCAGGGTCTAGAGGGGAAGATGGAAAAACATGAACCAAAAAGGTGAATGAAAAGAGCATTTGCCTCATAAGAAAGGAGCAAGGGACTATAACTGGGTCCTGAGCTCCACCAAGTGAGGGGTGTGAGAAGGCTGTGCTGAGATGAAATTGAGAATTCCTATGGCAGGAAAAGAAGGAGACAGCCCTGCACAAATCAGAGTATATTTAGCCTGGCAGAGGGCACCATGGTGCAGAGGATTGGAAACAATATGACGTTCCTGCAGTGGAGTTAGAAATAAGGCCTGGGGGATTGGCAGAAGCTGAAGAAAGGAGCAGGGAGGAAGGGGAAGAGGGCCAAGGCCTGGGGCAGGTGGACAGTATCAGTACCCAGCTCCTAGTTCTGTGTGACCACATTACCCCACACTCAGTGGCTTAACCAACAAACAATTCTGCACAGTCTTAGAGGATCAGGAATCCATGAGTGCCCAGCTAGAGGCTCCTGCGAAGCTTCTCAGTACTTTGGGGCTGTTGAGAACACCAAGGCACGACCTGATTCACTGAAAACCTGAGCTCACTTAGGGTTGTTGGTAGGATTCAATCCATCTCAAAGGCCTGAGTTCTTCTGTCTGTTGTTGGCCCTTATTGGGTTTTAATGTGCACATGTCTGGATTATGGTTCAACATAGGGGCTTGTACTCCTGAGTGAAGATCTGAGAGAGAATAGGGGTCAGAGTCAGCATGGGACTGGGCAATGAGCTTTTATAACTAAATCTCAGAAGGGGCTTGCTGGTCATGTTGCTATGTTCTGTGGAATAGTAGGAATCACTAAGTCCAGACCACACTCCAGGGGACAGGGTTACACAAAGATGTATAAACAGGATATGGGATTTCAGGGAACCACTGAGAGGAGAAGGTGAAGACCTCAACAGGGTTAGAGCATTGCCCAGAATGGTTAGAAGGCTGAAACAGGCATGAACCCAGCTCTTTGCATGTCCTCAAAGTAGGGACCCTGGATGCATGTAACCATTCACCAGAGGGCTCTGGGAAAAGTTGTGTTGAAAGAAGTGGCTACAGACATGGAGATGGTATAAGGGTGAGTGTGAGCCTTGATATATGAGATAGGAGGCATTCCAGCAAGTTCTTGTCTGAGGGGCAGCCCAGATCATGGCAATACACTGAGTGGAACCCTATCTACATCACACCCAATGGAAAGAATTTAATGGCTCTCAGTACAGGGTATGCAGTCTCTAGGCATTGGGGTGAATTCTGAACTTCAGAGGCCAAGGCTCCAATCCCTTCTTGCTTTTAAAATTAGAAAGCATACTATCTTGGGAAGCTATTATCCATCCCTCTGTAGGTGAGGCTGCCATCTTCTGGGGCTCCAGAATTTGAGCACTGATGAACACATGTGTACACACATGAGAGAGTGTGCATGTGCATGCACATGCTCGCACACACACACATACACACACACACAAACATACACACACCCCAGTAGGAACTGTAGAGTGAGATCTGACCAATAGTAGACCTAGAGAAGATAAGAAGAGGAAGAAAATATGGTTGGAGTTATTTCTTACATGTGACACCATTCCTCCATTATCACAGATATTATCCCACAAATGCCTATGGACATATGAAGGAAGTCCATGCTAGAGTCATCTGTATTGTACGGACAAGATGCAGACCACCCCTGACAGGGATAATGTCTTATCCAAGGACAAAAACAGGTAAGATTGGAGAGCTGTTCCTGAAGACACGTGTGTTTCCAAGCTGGGGCCCTGGCTGCTCCCAGTCCTTCCTTAGTGGCCTGTGGAGAGGGGTGTGTTGGTGTCACTGCGTACAGATGTGGCCTTGCATGCAGAATGGGGATGAGCAGATGGCAACCCTGAGCACTGTTTGTGTAGGTGTCAATCCAGGAGTGGACTTGGGTAGGTGATCTCAGGCAGTGAAGTTACTTCCTTGATGGCAGACCCCAACAGAATTTGGAACCCCTGCAAACAGGCTTCTACATTCTAGTGTAGTCTAGTATGGTGGTTACTTGGCTAGAGACATACAATACTGAAATATGTTCTCCTGCTGTTTGCCTACTTCCCAGGAATGACTTTTTCACATGCTGCAGATATTGGCTCAAACCTCATGGGCAAAGCCTCAGGGCATTTGGCAGGAGGTTCGATAAGGTAATATAGAACAGCTTATGCAAGGCCAAGTCACACCTCTGAGCCATCCCAGGGCAGCCTCGTTCTCTCCTCTGGAATTTCTGGCAAAGAGGGATATGTGGGGTTCCTGCCACTGGGATGGAGGGGGTTGTAAGGTAGCGGATACCCGGGGAAGCTGTGGATGTGGGTACTGTGACAGAGTACAGGGGAATGGATGACAGCTTTAGCCCCTAAGAGAGTCATTCCCCATTACCGGGCCCTCTCACCCCTGTCTCTACCCCAATCCTGGGACCTAGACCAGAGTCTGTGGAAACCACCAAAATCAGCAATATGTTGGAACCTGTACACTGAGTGTTCAAAGGGTGCTCAGGAGACCCAGTGAGAGTATAGGGACCAGATATTCCAAATCCTGTGGGAGATTAGTGTCAGTAGAAGGAGACCCACTCATGGCACCTAGTGAAAGAGGCAGCACATGGGCACAAGAGGTAATGTTTGAAGTATTGGGAGGATCCTGGGAAGGCCTGGCTAGAGACAGAGTCCATTTGCTCCCTCCTTTGTTGGATCTTCAGAGAGCAGTGATGTGTGCATTGAGGGTAATTAAGAGGCCCGACAACACCCCTCCTTGGGCACATGCAGTTGAATTCAAGTGGCAAATGCACAAGGAGATAGACTACAGAGTGAGTCCAGATCCACCATGTAGGGCAGAAATGGTCCCACCATTCATCAAGATCTCCCACGCATTGAGGCTCTTGCCAGCCTATTGTCTGTAACCAGGCCTATCTCAGGATTGCCAGATCACAGATGGGCAAGGAGTAGGACTGGTCTCTGACAGGAGATTTATGCCCAAGGACCCAGGTTCCCACAGGTTTCCCTGGGATATTCGTTTGGGAGGGTGCCCTGTCCTCTGATTCCTCTTCCTAATTGTCTATCCCCGGGACCATCTCCTCCATCTTGAACACATGGCTAGAAAAATATTCTGAACATTTTTTTTAAATATTTTATTTATTTATTTGACAGACAGAGATCACAAGTAGGCAGAGAGGCAGGCAGAGATAGAGGAGGAAGCAGGCTCTCCACTGAGCAGAGAGCCCGATGCGGGGCTTGATCCCAGGACCCTGGGATCATGACCTGAGCCGAAGGCAGAGGCTTAACCCACTGAGCCACCCAGGCGGCCCTATTCTGAACATTTTTACAGCCCCCAGAATTTCCCTGCCTGAATATGCTGCTGGCATACATGGAGCTCAGTATGCCAGACTCAGACCTGGAGCACCATGCCCAGCTTCTGCTTACACAGATGCAAAACCTTGAGCCCACGGACCCAGAAGCTGTGGGTGAGAAGGACTGGTGTTGACTGATGTGGGCCTGAGGAGGGGACAGGGTGGGCCACACTGAGCAAGCCTCCATAGAGTGCAGTTGGGTGGAGAACAGTAAATAGTCTCAGATCCCGGTCCCAATGGTCTTCAGTCATGGAGACTTCACAGGGATTGGTTCTTGCATGCAGGCAACATTGAGTGGTGGGGAAAGTTTCCTTTATTTAGAAGGAACATGGGAATTCAGTCATGCTGATGATACTTGCTCTTCACGGAGCTACAGCACCAGGCCCAGAGCTACATCCTAAACCACATCAGGAACTGGCCCCAGCTCACACTCTGGTATCTGCTGTATCTTTGGAGACACAGGTGGCCCCAACCCTCCCTGGCGCTGGAGCTCACACGTTAAGAAGAGTGGTGACACCACCTGCCCTGTTGGGACAAGTGCAGATGCTAGTCAGGGCTCTAATTCACTCTTCTGAGATGGAAGAGCCACCAACTCTTTTGCCTGACCTGGAGATCTAGCAGGGTCTAGCCCCTGCTATTGAGGTCAAGAAGGGCTTGAGCCAGCACCTGTCTCAGTGGAACAACCACCCTCAGCCCCCAAGCAGCAGCTCTTTCTGGCTGGAACCCCAAGAATGGTTTCCCCTCCTCTGTCATTGCTCTCTTTTTAATTTTTGTGTTTCGTATACATTTGTATAATTGCTTAATGGAATTTTTTCATTAAATAAAGTAGAATTGGGGTTTACATAAAATTTTACTCTGATCCTTTTCAATAGTATATGGAGGTGCCATTAAGCACTTTAAGAGTATTGCACAACGATTTACTTGAAGAATATTTCCATCACAGGGATATGTATCACTCCTGCTCATTCCCTCACCCCAGTCCTGGCAACCACTGCTTTTCTCTCTGTCTTTAGTACTTTACTTCATCTGAGATATTCATGTGCCTGGTATCCTACATTATGGCCTTCTCTGTCTGGCTACAGAACATAGGAAAGATATAAAAAAAATTTTTTTCAAAATTTTTATTTTTTATATTTATTTATTTATTTATTTATAATCATTTTTTAAATTTATTTTCAGCATAACAGTATTCATTGTTTTGGTACCACACCCAGTGCTGCATGCAATCCGTGCCCTAATACCCACCACCTGGTTCCCCCAACCTCCCACACCCCCACCTCTCAAACCCTTCAGATTGTTTTTCAGAGTCCATAGTCTCTCATTGTTCACCTCCCCTTCCAATTTCCCCCAACTCCCTTCCCCTAACTCCCCATGTCGTCCTCGCTATTTGTTATGCTCCACAAATAAGTGAAACCATATGATAATTGACTCTCTCTGCTTGACTTATTTCACTCAGCATAATCTCTTCCAGTCCCGTCCATGTTGCTACAAAAGTTGGGTATTCATCCTTTCTGATGGAGGCATAATACTCCATATGGACCACATCTTCCTTATCCATTCGTCCATTGAAGGGCATCTTGGTTCTTTCCACAGTTTGGTGACCGTAGCCATTGCTACTATAAACATTGGGGTATAGATGGCCCTTCTTTTCACTACATCTGTATCTTTGGGCTAAATACCCAGTAGTGCAATTGCAGGGTCATAGGGAAGTTCTATTTTTAATTTCTTGAGGAATCTCCACACTGTTCTCCAAAGAGGCTGCACCAACGTGCATTCCCACCAACAGTGTAAGAGGGTTCCCCTTTCTCCACATCCCCTCCAACACATGTTCTTTCCTGTCTTGCTAATTTTGGCCATTCTAACTAGTGTAAGGTGATATCTCAATGTGGTTTTTATTTGAATCTCCCTGATGGCTAGTGAGGATGAATATTTTTTCATCTGTCTGATAGCCATTTGTATGTCTTCATTGGAGAAGTATCTGTTCATATCTTCTGCCCATTTTTTGATATGATTATCTGTTTTGTGTGTGTTGAGTTTGAGGAGTTCTTTATAGATCCTGGATATCAATCTTTTGTCTGTACTGTCATTTGCAAATATCTTCTCCCATTCCGTGGGTTGCCTCTTTGTTTTCTTGACTGTTTCCTTTGCTGTGCAGAAGCTTTTGATTTTGATGAAGTCCCAAAAGTTTATTTTGGCTTTTGTTTCCTTTGCCTTTGGAGACATATCTTGAAAGAAGTTGCTATGGCTGATATCGAAGAGATTACTGCCTATGTTCTCCTCTAGGATTCTGATGGATTCCTGTCTCATGTTAAGGTCTTTTATCCATTTTGAGTTTATCTTTGTGTACAGTGTAAGAGAATGGTCAAGTTTCATTCTTCTACATATAGCTGCCCAGTTTTCCCAGCACCATTTATTGAAGAGACCAATATCACTGATGAATATGGATGCTAAGATTCTCAACAAGATCCTAGCAAACAGGATCCAACAGCACATTAAAAAGATTATCCACCATGACCAAGTGGGATTCATTCCTGGGCTACAAGGATGGTTCAACATTTGCAAATCAATCAATGTGATAGAACAAATCAATAAGAGAAAAGAGAAGAACCACATGGTCCTCTCCATTGATGCAGAAAAAACATTTGACAAAATCCAGCATCCGTTCCTGATTAAAACGCTTCAAAGTATAGGGATAGAGGGAACTCCTGAACATCATCAAATCTATCTATGAAAAACCCACAGCAAATATCATCCTCAATGGGAAAAAGCTTGCAGCCTTCCTGTTGAGATCAGGAACAAGACAAGGATGCCCACTCTCACCACTCTTGTTCAACATAGTATTAGAAGTCCTAGCAACAGCAATCAGACAACAAAGAGAAATAAAAGGTATCCAAATTCGCAATGAAGAAGTCAAACTCTCTCTCTTCGCAGATGACATGATTCTTTATATGGAAAACCCAAAAGACTCCACCCCCAAACTACTAGAACTCATACAGCAATTCAGTAATGTGGCAGGATACAAAGTCAATGTACAGAAATCAGTGGCTCTCTTATACACTAACAATGAAAATACAGAAAGGGAAATTAGATAATCGATTCCATTTACTCTAGCACCAAGAACCATAAGATACCTGGGAATAAACCTAACCAAAGAGGTAAAGGAAGTGTACTTGAGGAACTACAGAACACTCATGAAAAAAATCGAAGAAGACACAAAAAGATGGAAGACCATTCCATGCTCTTGGATCGGAAGAATAAACATTGTTAAAATGTCTATACTGCCTAGAGCAATCTATACTTTTAATGCCATTCCAATAAAAATTCCACCGGTATTCTTCAAGTAATTTAAATTTTTTTTAAAGGAGATATGAGACTCTATATGAGGACTGTGTCTGGGTGAAACCAGAGCAGGTGACCCTGGGGGTAAGCAGGGAGTCCAGGCCCACTCAGATATCTGTAATGGGCTAGGTTGGGGCCCTTTCATTCAGGAAGCATTCAGGAAGTCCCAGTCATCACATGCGATCGTCTAGGAGCTGACTATGAATGCTGCACAGAGCAGACAGCACCCCTGGACTCCAGACTAGTTAGGGGACAAATAGTGACAGTGGGCATGATGAGAGGTAGCATCCACACGACATTTTATGTGATGACCCCTTGCTTCCACTAGATATGGGTGTATTTTCTCCAACTATGATGAGGTCGGCAGAGCCCAGGAATGGCAGAATATGTGAGTGAGCTTTGGCTGATGCATGAGGTCCTTATCTCAGCCCCAGGGACTCTTGAACCTTCATCCCACACATCTGTGTTTCCTCCTTAAGGGTGAAGCTCAGAGAGTTCCTTCTGGAGAAAGGAAGGTGTCTGGGGGAACTGTGGATGTGGGCACCTTTGCAGAGCAGAGGGGGCTAGAGGACAGCTTTAGCCCCTAAGGGAGTCATTCCCCACCCAGCTCCCCCCCACCGTGTCCTGACTCAACACCAATCCCGGGACCCAGAACAGAGCGTGTAGGAACCATCACACGTAGCAATCTTTTGGAACCCAGACACTGGGTGCCCAGAAGGTGCTCAGAAGACCCAGTGAGAGCTCAGGGACCAGACATTCCCCACCCTGTGGGAGAATAGTGTCAGTGGAAGGAGACCCACTTGTGGCAACTAGTGAAAGAGGCAGGACAAGGGCAGAGGAGGTAACATTTGAGGTACTGGGAGGGTCCTGGAAAGGGTCCTGTCTAGCCTAGCTAGAGACAGAGTCCATTATTCTCTCCAGGGTCCTGGGAAGGGTCCTGTCTAGCCTAGATAGAGACAGAGTCCCTTAGTTCCCTACTTGGTTGGATCTTCACTGCACAGTGGCATGTGCAGTGAGGGTAATTAAGAGGCCAGACAGCACCCCTCCCTGGGAACATGCAGTTGAATTCTGTGGCAAGTGGGCAAGGAGACAGACTGAGGAGTGTGTCCAGTTCCCCTAAGAAGGACAGAAATGCTCACAGGATTGATCAGGACTCACACTCATAGCACCTTTTTGCACTCTGTCATCTATGATGAGACCTGTCTCAGGCAGGACTGCCAGATCACAGGTGGACAAAGACTAGGACTGGTCTCTGACAGGAGCTGGAAGCCCAGGGACCCAGGTTTCCACAAGGGTTCCTTGGGATATTGGTTTGGGAGTGTGCCCTGTCTTCTGACTCCTCTAACAGTCTCTTTCCAGGGCCATCTCCTCCATCTTGAACACATGGCTAGAACAATAGCCTGAGGATTTTGCCCA